CCGTTGACACTGATACGCTTTACACGTTTTCTGAGAGATCTTCGAGTTTGAAACAACATATTGCGATTGCGTCTGACTTTGTTGTCAGCGATTTGTATTCTTTGCCACAACTCTTCACACGAGCCAATAGATTCTTTGTAAACTATATCTTTCATTCGAGACCAAATAGAAAAATCAAGAGGATTGAAGTCCGGACTTCTGGATGGCCAAGCAAAAATGCTTACATGGCCAATCCAGCGATTTGGAAAAACTGCATCTAAATATGCACGCACTGGCCAAGAAAAATGCGGTGGAGCTCCGTCGTGCATGAACCACATGTCTTTTCTTAAATAAAGTGGAATTTCTTCAAGCCGTGGAAGCATTTTTATTTGGCCACCTAGAAGTCCGGACTTCAATCCTCTTCATTTTTCTATTTGGAAAAATCTATTGAAGAGTTGTGGCAAAGAATACAAATCGCTGCCAACAAAGTCAAACGCAATCCCAATATGTTGTTTCAAACTCGAAGATCTCTCAGAAAACGTTGTGTAAAGTGTGTAAATGTCAACGGTAAATTCTTCGACTTTAAATCATTAATACGAATCTCATTTGTTTTATTGTTAATTGCTGTAATAACACGAAGAAACACTTGGTTTGTTTCACTTTTAATTTCTCGTATTATCAAAACATAGTGTTCGTTAAATCGATTTTTCTCGAAAATGGATCGAGATACCGAAATGAAACAAGAGTACATAGTTAATGGAAAAATGATTGCTCTTTCAGGTTTTGAATCAAGTTTCATGTTAGACATACAGGGTAAAAAGTTATTAACTAAATTTTCGGTAAAATGCCCTCTATGAGCAATGCTGAAATTACAACAAGCATCTTATTCGTCGCCTAAACAAATATAGTTTCACAAACTTTCAAGTTCCTAACCTACATATTTTCAGAATAATCACAAAAAAACGATTTAAAATTTTAACTTTCAACACCCTGTATTTCTGAAACTAACAACATTCGGATAAGGCATGTTTGCGCCAATGGTCACCATTTCACGTGTAGTATCTTCAGCTTTCGATTTTCCCATTGTTAATGAATCACCCTGTATAGTAATTTTTGTGATGCTATGGTTCCAGAAAATTTTCAGGCGATTGCATGTGATGAGTCAATGAAATGGAAAGAAGCAATGAATCGTGAAATGAACAGTCTTATGGAAAATAAAATAAACGTGGACACTTGTAAACAAACCTCCAAAGGACAAAAGAGTAATTTATGTGAAGTGGGTATACAAAAAGAAAAGTGAAAGTGAATATAAAGCCAGGATGGTGGTGAGAGGTTTCCAACAAACTGAAAGTATTGATGATACTTATTCTCCTGTTGCTGAAATGCCGACTCTTAAACTGCTGTTGTCTTATTATTGTCAAAATTCTTTGGATATCCATCAAATGGATGTAGAAACAGCTTTCCTAAATGGCAAGGTTTTGTCTGAAGTATATGTTAAACAGCCAGTTGGTTATGAAGATGGTACTGACAGAGTTTATAAATTAATTAAATCATTATACGGTTTAAAATAAAGTCCCCGAGCATGGTATGAATGTTTCAATGATTTTTTAACAACTCTTGATTTTTACAGAAGTAAACATGACTATTGTCTGTATGTTAAAAAAGAAAATTATTGGACTGTTTACATTTTATTATTTGTTGATGATTTATTAATTTGCTGTAAGAATGAACAAATTATTGCTGACATAAAAGACAAAATATCTGACAAATTCAAAATGAAAGACATAGGTAGAGTAAAAAATTATATTGGTATTAATATTGAATATGATTATGATCAAGATAATAGCTTAACTTTGAGTCAAAAATCTTATATGGAGTCTTTAGCTAAACATTATAATATTGAAAATGCAAAATTATTTAAAACCCCTATGGAAATAAACTTAAAACTGGAGCAATCTGAAATAATCTCTTTTGTATATTAGCTCTGGTACTAGACCAGATATATCTTTCAGTGTAAATTACCTTAGTAGATTCCAAAATTGTTATAATGAGGCACATTTTAAATATGCCCTGCGTATCCTAAAATATTTATACTTGACGAAAGATCTTAAATTAAAATATTGTAAGAATAATAATGTTGATATTGTGGATTGTTTTGTGGACGCTGGGCAGGAGATACTGTAGATAGAAAGTCTACCACAGGATTTGTTATTAGATTTTTTGAAAATGCCATTTTTTGGAAATCAAAGAAACAGAATAGTGTAACGAAGTCTTCTACATTTACTGAGTACATTGCTGTAACAGAGATACATTTTTTTATTTCTTTAATGAGTGAAATGTTTACTAAAATTTGTAAACCAGTTAGGATATATGAAGATATAACTCAGGGGCAGTAGCTATATCTAAATATGGAAATTTTATAAAGAATTCTAAACACATTGAGGTTCATTATCATTTTATACATGAAAATGTTAAGCAAGGAAGTATTGAAGTAGTAAAGATAGAGTTAGAAAATAATATCGCAGATATATTTACAAAAGCATTAGGAAATGTAAAATTTATTAAATTCAGAGAAATGTTAAATGTAGTTAAATGAATGTGATAGTATTGTAACTGATTTTATGTGTTGTGTTGCAATATAAATGTAAGGAGGCCTTCCTTTTAGTTGATCTGTTAATAACTTACTTTGTTTATGTTTTTGATATTGCATTTATTTTATATACAGGGTGTTAAAAAAAGAGTGTAAAATATTTAAGGAGGTAATAGTATGAAACAAAATAAGCAGAAAAGTCTCAATAAACATGGGTCCGCAAAGTAACGGTTGCGGAGATATGGAATGTTTTATGTTTTTTGAGCCCCTTTCTTATTTTGCAAAAATAGTTGGTTGATGTTTAGTGAAATAAACAGTACGTATTTGACAGTTCTCAGTGCACAAGTTTTCTTTCGCTATGGCTGGTTACTCTAACGCAGAATTAACAGACATGCATTTCATGTATGGTCGTGCTAATGGGAACGCCACCGAAGCGCGACGTCTTTATCTTGACACTTATCCAAATCGCCAGATTCATTCACAACGCATGTTTGGAAGAATTCACCATAGATTGCGTGTTACCGGTTCCTTGAGCAAACAGTGCCATTTATCCGGAAGACCAAGGTTGGTATCCACTCCTAGAGAAGAAGAAGAAATTCTAGCACTGGTAGAGCAGAATCCAGGTACGAGTGTGCGGAGAATATCAGCAGAGGTAGGAATTAGTGGTCCTCTTGTTTAGAGAATCCTTCACGAGCAACTGCTTTATCCATACTATGTGCAACGAGTACAGACCTTAAATCCAATAAATGATTATCAAGCACGTTTGGTTTTTTGCCGCTGGTTTCTACGTCATGATGCTGAAGACCCTCGTTTTCTTGCAAACATTCTTTTTACTGATGAGGCCGGGTTCACAAGAAATGGAGTGTTTAATTTTCACAATACGCATATTTGGGCCGACGAAAATCCTCATGCTCTAATATAATCTGGACATCAGGCACGTTTTTCATTAAACATTTGGATGGGTATTGTAGGTGACAGGTTTCTAGGTCCTGTTGTTTTACCAAACCGATTAACAGGCGCTCAACTTTCTGCAGAACACACTGTATGAGTTTTTGGAAGACATTCCTTTGAATCAGAGGCAACAAATGTGGTTCCAGCATGATGGTGCTCCAGCTCATTTTTCCATGGCCGTTAGACAGCATTTACACCAAACTTTTCCACATAGATGGGTAGGAAGGACCGGACCTGTTTTATGGCCTCCAAGATCGTCTGATCTGAACCCTCTAGATTTCTTTGTTTGGGGAAATTTGAAGACATTAGTGTATGGTACTCCTGTAAATAGCTTGGAAGAGCTGCAGCTACGGATGAATCAAAAGTATCAAGAAATCCAAACCAAGGTGTTTTCGAAAGAGTTCGAATATCGTTGAGACGAAGATGTCGTGCCTGCTTGGAAATGGACGGAGGGCACTTTGAACATCTTCTGTAACTTTGTTTTTTGTTTGTTAAAAGCTTCCTTTGTCGGTTTATTCCTAATAATATAAAATGTTTGAAAAACGAATAGTGGTCCATATCTCCGCAACCGTTACTTTGCGGATCCATGTTTATTACGATTTTTCTGCTTATTTTGGTTCATACTATTACCTCCTGAAATATTTTACACTCTTTTTTTAACACCCTGTATGTAAAATAAGTTGTACAAAAGTTTTTTTATAATAAAAATCCTGAATATAAAAAAGGAGCTTCTTTAAAAAATGATTACATTAACAAATCTATTTATTTTAGAAATGGCAAAATTCCCATTGGAATTATAAGCTTTTTAATCTAATATAGCAACAAGAATTATATATTATATCGATATTTTTACATTTAATTCAAAAAAATGGTTTTAAGACAATAAAAGAATTAAAGTTGCAGTCCAACTTTATATCAAACTGTTTTGCTGTTTTTATTTTGTAATGACAAAAAAAATGTTTTTCAAACTTCAATACTTTGAATACACCTGACAAAGGTTTTCCTCTGTATTTCACATGATACTCTCATAAGGAAATTATCTTTTTATGGCATTCAAGGTGTACCGTTGACACTAATTCAATCTTTCCTAAGTAATCGTAGACAAGTTGTTCATTTAAATAACTCATATCCAGGTTATGAATATGTGTATCTTGGAGTTCCACAGGTGTCCATGTTGGGGCCATTACTTTTCATTGCATATGTTAATGATCTGTTTCCACTTATAATACCTTTTTGTAGTACGTTATTTACCATTGTCTATATGCGCCTGCCTATAATTGAATCTATCTTTCTTTATTTTCTGAAGAAAACATTGAAATAGCACAAGTGGTTTTAAAACTTTCACAGCCCGTGCTATTTAAACTACCATGGTTTTTGGGATTGTTATACCGTGGGCTGAATACCTGGTGGCCGCCAGTTACAGAAATACCTCTCACTTCCTTTACCTTAGGTAGGAATCTTAGGCCTGCTCTTGTTGTTCTCAGGCTAGGCTCTGTAGGGGTGGACCTGCTATTAGAACCCTTAGGCCCGTCTTGATTTCATTTTGGTTATTACTGGCTCTAATTGTAAGAGACGGAACCCGCTGAGTCCTCTTCAGTTGCGGTGAAGCATTTGGAGAGAAATAAAAGTTAATCCTGTAACTGGCGACGACCAAGTACAGAGGCCACGATATAAAGCCTAAAAAACCATCGCACTGTAAGTATGCGCACAAATATGTTTTTATTAAATTAAAATTTGAAATTTAATATCTTTAATCACACAAGGACATGCAAAACTACTTGGTGTGATTCTTGGTGACTATCTTACACGGAAGTTGAATTTATGAACCCCAGGCACAATCTTTTTAATTTGTAGATTGAGGCATTCTTCGTGTAATAATTGTTTGATGATGTGCTATTATTCACTTTTTCATGTCCATTTAATACAGTGGGAAAATAGCACAACTTTCGATAAAATCTTTAAAGCACAAAATACAAGCTGCATCATTAATAACTAACTCTTGATATACTGAACACGGTCGACCGCTTTTTAGAAAACTTCTACAGCGCCAAGTACATTTTACATGACGGACTTACTTAGTAAATAAAGTCGAATAATGGAAAAATTTATAGCTCTTTTATCTGCTTTAACGTTAAGCCAGTAACTTATTACTTAACTGGGTTTACATATTACGTAGTGTCATAAATTTATGATTATTCCAAAAAAGGATTATATAAGTTGAAATTTATAGTACCTACTTCTATTGGCGGTGGTGGTGATGGTTTAAAAAGGTTAATTTATGTTACTTAATTTTCCTGGATTATTGGCGAATTTTATACAGTGATCTAGTGGTATAAAAAGAGTCCATTAGTCATAAGCAATAGTATATGAATACTATGAATATCTCTTTTTTCCTCATTAGCCAGTACTTTATTTTCTCTAAACTTGATGTAATATTGTAATTATACACTCAATCATAATATTACTTAATTCTTACTCTTAATTTTTTACAGCTTAAAATTTTCTAACAATCAAAATTACTTCACCTATTGTTAGGTACGATATGTCCTGTCTGATTAATATACGATTTGAATGTTTTTCCTCCAGCATATTTGTAGCGTTATAGAAGTAGGTATATTGGCAATTCAACTTCCTTGCAGTTTAGTCAGTTGATTTCTACACAAAGCAGTTTGAACAATTGCACTTCAGAAATAAAGCTTGTTTAAAATATAATCCTGAATGTAACTTTAAATGTAACTGATAGAAATACTATTACAGATAATTTTTGTCAACATTTAAACTAAACAACTATAACCAACCATATCTAACAGTTGGAAGTATTAAAACTGACTGCCCTGTCATGTAAAAATGTTTAGAGTGTCGATCACGAGAATTATAACTAAAATATTTTAAGTTTTCTGAAAGTTAATTATTGTAAATAGAAAATCTTGACTGCATTTTTAAAACAATATTTTTAGTTTAAAACATGTGGCGTACGGTATGTCTCGAATCAGTGTTTCCAGAGTTCCTATATTGATATTTGTATAAAAAAATGCTAGGTTATACAAAAATCTTAACTTCGATTTTAGCAATTTCGTATGAGATGTTACAGTTTGAGATGGAAATGTTATCTGTTAAGTGGAAAAAATTCAAGAATTATATACTGAGTGTTCCATTTTATATCCGGCTATTTATCTCAAGTTGGACCACGAAAACTTTTTTATTTTAAATAAAAAGTCTTATGTTTTTTGCTTGGGATGTGTAAAATTAAACCCACTTTTTTGGTATATGCATTATTAGAATTAAAATTGCAATATTTGAGATATTTTTATAGTCACTTCAGAAGTACCTCATTATTTTAAGATTTCATAGGTTTGCAATTCATGATGTTATTGATGTCGCTATTTTTTACTTTTATAAAAAAATATATTATATATTCTTAATATAAATGTTAAGTACCTAAACCATGTCTTCTCTATGAAATAAAAAGATGAATTAACTATACATGAAGTCAGGAATTGAATGGGCCATACTAAATTCCTCGAAATAAACCTATTGAGATTACGTTACTATATTACCTAAAAAGATCAATAGTTCCATTATCTGCTATCAACTTCTTAAGATATTTCAATGAAATCTAGTGCGGGGGATTCTTTGAGGCGGCCAAATATGAATACTATTTTTTTTACGTAAAATAGAGAGGTCGCGAACAATACTTGAAACAGTCTTGTTTCTTTGTAAAACATTTTTTTTTGCAGATATTCTGTGAAGAGAAGCATCACTTTGTTTACTGTAAAAATTGTTTCATGTCGATGAAATGATCGTTTCAGAGAAAAATTGATTTAAATTTTTCAGTTGTTAGTTACTGACAGTTGAGTATTTAGAGGAATTATTCTATTCTAATTAAAACTCTTTTTTGATCAAATTTAAAAAAATATTTGAATTTCTTTGAAATGGCTTAATACCTTCAAAATAAAGTAAAAAAATGCGAGAACTAATAATAAAATATATGTTTTTTAACGAATTACATAATAACATGTACATGTACAAATGAGGGTATGCAGCTAGATGCTCCGGATATAAGGCTTATTATTAAGGAATATCCTGTGGATGCACCATACCATAATTTAAAGATAATAATCTGTCATTAGATACGTGGAATAGGAATTTTCAAAAAAGTTAGAAAATGTCATAATATAATGTAACTAGAAGAATAGAACTAGAGTAGCGATGAGAGTAAAGGAAATAATATCTAATTGTTTCCATTTCTATAGGTCTCTAAAAATATTCCATCTTCAAATATAATGAATTTTGGATGAGACGAATTTCTCTGATAACCCTGGGTAAAAGAATGTTATTTAGAGGTGGACAGAGAAATATGAACTCGTATCAGTAATGTTTACGATTTCTGCTATTGGGAGAATATTATCTTGTTATGTCGTAAACAAACGAGAGCACATTTGGACAATATGGACTGAAAGAGGACCCGTTTGAACCAGATATAGGAAAACAAAGTCGGGATGGTTTGATGGAGAAAATTTTGAGGAACATTTTTTGACAATTATTGTTTCCTGGAAAAATAGATTGGAAGGTCCTTCTTCCAGACAATTTAAGTTTCCACTTCAACCATAAAGTTATACATGCCTATGAGGAACTACATATAAAATTTGTATTTCTACCTGTAATTGCCACGCATCTTTGCCACGCGCTAGATGTGGCATAATTTGCTCCTACCAAAACAACATAAAGAATAATTTTAACTTCAAATTATTAAATTATTTAACTTTAATTTTTTTTTTTTAAAAAGTGGAATTTATCTTGTTGACAAAATTCTAATGTTTTGGATATATTATATGGTTGAATTTTCCTGCAATTGTGATATATAAGTATTGTATATAAAAAAAGTTTTATTTTGTAATTTATATTTATTATGTTTAAATTTAACAGTTTTTAAGAAAGGTAAAACTTAAGAAATAATTCAAAAAAATCAAATGGTCTATATTTGTAAAAATTAATAATTATTAAATAGGTGAATAAAATAAAACAATTTAACTTCTATAAAATTAAAATTAAACATAATCTCGCATATTTTTAGAAAAAAATATTATTATACAGGGTGTCCGGAAATTCTTGCAACAAAATTTGGTCATAGATTCTTAAGACAAATTCAGCGGACCCATATTTTAGCCTTGTAAGACCTGGAGCTGAGTTGTAAAGTTTGATCTCGAAACCCGTAGTATTTTAAAAATAAAAGGATTGTGAGAAAATTGTACCTTTTTTCTAAAATAAGTTACTATTTTAACTGATCCTCAAAGCGTAAGTTTACAAAAGATGGTGTTTCCACGACTTATAAACAGGTTTCTTGGAGAAATCAAGTCAAGAATATCTGTAAGTATTAAAGTGGCTTTTAAGTCATGGGGTAACGTACCAAATCGTCTGAAGGTAGTGAAAAAAACACCAGAACCATCTTTGACAGTTTCAGATGAAGCAGTAGTAAGTGATATCTTGTTAAGTTATTTCCAATTCTAGAAAGGGGATGAATAAATATTTAAATAATAAAAGGAGCTCTCTATACCTGCAGGAAAATCCATTTCCTTAACTGATCTGCAACGTTCCCATAATGAGTAAGACGCAAATGTCAGTGAAGCTATATTGCACATGCTAAACCTGTAACCAGGTTCAATATCAACCCCTTAGTTACCAACAGTGGAATTTAATTTGCCATTGACTTGACCAATTACGTTATGGCAGCAGTTACCTGACCCCAGAATAAGTTTTTAATTTTGTTTTTGATAAAATGTATTGCGTCCATAAGTGATACAATAGTTACCTAATATTAGAAAATGTTTTTATCTTTGTTCTTATAAAATGTATCCATAAGTGTTTCGACAAACTGTTTAACAAATAAGAATATTTTTTAATGTAGTGTAATTTTTGATCTGCTTTAATGGGGGTGAGTTTGCTGTACTCATCAAAATAAAGGGTATGGGCAAGGACACATCATTCATGCAACTGATTAAACCCATCCCATTTTATTTACCAAGTACCGCAATTCGTCTTCAAAATTAGTGTAACAAAATTTTATTCATTTTAAAAACTTTGCTCAGATCTATCTTTCTTCAAGTTTATTTTAAAGTAGAATGCGTATATTAACTTTTCTTTGCATTACAATATTTGTACATTCCCAATTATTTTTCGGATAAGTTCTGAATTACCCTGTATAGTGCCAACTTCAAAAAAATAAGCTGTAACTAAAACCCATTCTCATTGGCATCTTTGAATAGCCATAGGTCCCTTATGACGAATTTTAGGACTTCTGTTCATATGAACCTTTTTTCATGTCTCATGTGTAGAATCACACAAGTATGGGAACGGAATTTCTGGACACACTGTAGGTAGATAGTAAAGGATGTATTAAGAAAAGTAATTCTCGTAAAATGCCAATTTTCAGTATTTTGTGCGTAATTGGATACGTTTTATATTGTTGTATTGAGAATAATGGGCAATTAAGCGTCTTTCGATTTGGGTAGGTATTCATTCCAGTTTTCTTAATAGCAGTAATCGCCTATGAGACAGGATTTATAAGACATAATACGATCTCAGAATTTTCAATTACGTAGAAAATATCACGCTTTGTAACAAGTAACACAAAGCACTGCAATATACGTATTTGTAAAAATTCACATCTTTTTATTTAT